ATAAAATTGTTTTTTAACTGAGGCTCATACCTTTATAGAGAAAAGCAGTTGTTGAATCGGAGATATGCCAAGCCTTTCTCCTTTTGTTTCTACTGAAGAGCCGCAACCAGATGCAAAGAAATCTTTTAACTTGGGGCACTCTATTATGTGTTTTCCAGGATAGAAATATTTGAGACTTCGTAGACCACACAGCCCAATAGTAGATAAATGAGGAAGCGCAAACCTAGGAACAGCACGTGACTCTTCCACATTCAATTCCCCAAGTTCAAATATCTCTTCTAGACCATCACAACAGCCTACCCTTAACTCCTCCACTGATGTCAATAATCTGGCAAGCTTATAAGATGGAAAAATATTCAATAATTTAGCACAAAATGAAATGGATAAATTTTTTAGTTTGCAGAACGAATCTGCAGGGAGTTGGTGGTGCCATATGATCCTCAACTTCGCCAACCTACTGATATCCAATTGTTCCAAGCTGGGAAAAGCAACCTGCATAATTTGTCAAATTAATCAAAAGTATTAAGGGAGAAGAATTAGTTACTAAAATTAAGGCCAAAATGAAAGTGAAATAAAAATTTATACCTTTTCATTAAAGAGGGGCTGTATTCCACCTGTGACATCTGTGCCCGCATTGACTATGAACCCATTCAATTCTGGACAATCGTATATAACCAATTTCTTCAAGGCTCTGAATTCAATACTATAGTTTCCGGAGCAAAATCTACGAAGGTTTTCAAGATCTCCAATATACAGGTCGTTTAACTTGGGGAACAAAATCAAATCTTCCATTTCTTCTGAAGCCTCTGGTGCAATTATCTCTCTCATCCTCTTGCATCTGCTTATGTGAAGGTATCTAAGCTGAACCAGACATTTAGCCACAGAGAACGACAATAGGTGTTTCAAATGATCACAGCCCTCAATGATCAAATCCGTCAGACTCTGAAAACAGCAGGATTTTGCAGAAAGCTGACTGCTCCATATACTTTTAATGTTGAGCGAGGACAACTCCAACTTCTTGAGGTTTGGAAAGACAATCTGCAAAACAATCACATGATTCTTTGTCCCAATATAATTCAAAATATATGTCTAATTAAAGGCATCTAAGCAAACATCAAGATTTAAGGTTGGAAGCTC